GAGTGCCATGGCATCACGCTCACAGCAACCTCCAACTCCTGGGCTCAAGCGAGTCTCCTGTCTCAGCCTCCCAAGTAGCTGGGACCACAGGCACCCGCCACAACACCTGGCCATTTTTTGGTTGCAGCCATCATTGTTGTTTGGAGGGCCCAGGCTGGGGATTTGAACCCGCCACCTTAGGTGTTTGTGGCTGGCGCTTTAGCCACTTGAGCCACAGGCGCCAAGCCTAGAAGGCTGTTTCTGTCAGTAAAAATATTCTCACACATATATAACAATGAAAATGTCACGAAATGACCCCTATCATTCTTAGGGGCAATACACTTTGATACTTATTTCTTTTTTAATGGTAGATACGTGTACCATTATATGTATGTGGACTTCCCAATGTAAGCTATTTCGCAGCTGTAAACCACTGTTCCCTATAAGCAATGTGCCCTCCCATTTATCTATAAAATCAATAAATACCTTTTGAGCACCCTTAATACCCACTCCCAGTGCTGCTGTGACTCACAGACATCCACTGTCCAGGATGGTATAGTCAGTAATGGGTTTATAACCAAACACAAGCAAAGAAGACAGCAAGAACGAAGTGCAGAGGACTGTGTCTGTCTGGAAAGATGCAGGAAAGCTTTCTAGAAGCAAAGGACTTGAGCTGTGCCCTGAAGCTTGAGAGGCAGCCGAGTCTTGGACATGCAGGCTAGACAAGTTGGAAGGAAGTGAAAGCACTAACCGAGGGGAGAGCAGCCCCCCCCCCAGGTAGGGGCCAGGAGACTGGGAATCATCTATGTGGGGTGAGAAATGGTCATTTTAGAAATGCTATCCAGTGGCCTGGAAATGACAATGGTTAAATGTGCACATAAATTCCTCCTATCCCACCTCAAGTGGGAAAAGGGGGAAGCCTCCTAGGAAAGAGGTACCTATGTGGAGACAATCCTGGAGGAAGAGAGGATGAGCCACCGTGGCTGTGGCCCTGTGGCCTCTTTGAACTCCTTCTTAAGGGATCACTTGGACACCCTCCTCCCCGGTGACATGATAAGGCATATGCATTACTCACGCACTACCCACTCACCCTATATCACAGCCCTGCACAGAACCAGATTCCACCAACTCCAGAACTTTCTGAGAAAGCTGTGACAACCCACGTGTTTGTGAATAGCCCTCAAATCCACAAAATCCTGCTTTGCCTTCCACGCACACACAGTGAAGTCTGTCAGTCTTGCACTAAAGGGAATGATGATCTGGCTCGGTGCCTGTGGCTCAAGCGGCTAAGGCGCCAGCCACATACACCTAAGGTGGCGGGTTCGAATCCCCAGCCCGGGCCCGCCAAACAACAATAATGGCTACAACCAAAAAATGGCCAGGCGTTGTGGCGGGCGCCTGTAGTCCCAGCTACTTGGGAGGCTGAGGCAGGAGACTCGCTTGAGCCCAGGAGTTGGAGGTTGCTGTGAGCGTGATGCCATGGCACTCTGCCCAGGGGGACAGCTTGAGGCTCCGTCTCAAAAAAAAAATAAAAAAAAAAAAAAAAAGGGAATGATGATCTAGGACAGGGAACCACCAACTTGCTCGAACTTTAGGGAACCAGGAGGCATGACAGACTTCTTTGGCTTTTTATTTTTTAACAGCAAACATTTAATAAGCATTGGCACCATCTAATTGGAAACACACTCCTCTAACTTTTGGTTAATGACCCGTCTCCCCTGCTCTGTGCCCAGCAGCATGTTCCCTGGTCTCTCTAATCCCTGGGGGCCTGGCACACTTGCTCAGTGAGGGTGGACCCTGGTCATGGCTGATTTCAGTCCAAGATGGAAGGAGTTTCTCGTTGCAATGTTGTAAGACACACATGCTCCCCGAATTTGTTTGCTTGCTTGTTTTACAAAGCCTAATCTAGGCTTATCAAGCCAGTTTATTTCATGATCTTTGGTATTTACTTCTGATTGCCTTTTTGCTTTTATATTACAGGTGTTTGGAAAGGAAATACGATATAGTTTGTGATTTTTGTAGGAAACACAAAACTATTCTTCGGTACATCATCTGGGGCATTTTGTTAGCAGGTAAATGTCAAAGGAGGTGGGGATACCACTGTCTCTCTTGGAGGAGCCCTCAAATGTAAGAGAAGAAACCTTCTCTGGGACTTCACTGAGCCATGCAGAGAGGGAGAGAGGTAAATCAGGAAACCCCTATGTCTTGGGTCCCAGCAGGAGAAACTTTCCCTGGCCTCTTTAGGAGGCCAGCAGCTAATTTTTTGAGTTACCTTCTCAAGGGCTCATATGGCTTTCATTACTGTTGAGTGGATTTGAAAGGTCACAGTGGTTAACACAGGCAATTTATGCTTTACGTGAATGCAACCTGAGAAGTCTGGGGCTATCAAGCCCACTCCTCCTGCCTCCGGTGTCTCTTGTTTTCACTCCCTCCGAAGCAGTGGTTCTTAGCCTGTCTGGGTCCCAACCCCTTTGGACTGTATTAAAGGTTAGCAACATTAGGAAGGTTGAGAACCACTGCTCCAAAGGAAAGGGCTCCTTGGCCCATTTTAAAGAACACCCCTGTCTATGAAATGTAAGCACTCCCACCAGCCCACAGACATTCATCCCAGACAGCTGCACCACCAAGGCCAGAGGTTTTGCCCATGCAGCGCTCAAATACCTGGAACAGGAAGCAGGAGGTCTGGTAAACTTTCTCTTCACCTGGCCAGGGAGTACTTGAGTATTTTCAGTAGTGTAGGCATAAGGTCCAAACTACATAACTCCACCATTATAGTAAAAAAGCAGCCAGAAACAATCTGTAAACAGATGGACGTGGCTGTGTTCACCACCACTGTATTTGTAGAATACAAATACACAAATACAATTATACTTGCCACCTACAGAAACATGTGGCAGGCCAGATTTAACCTGCATACTATGTCTGCTGACCTTTAAGAATAGGAAACCTTATTCTCATCCTCAAATCTGCTCTTCACAAGCAGCCACCTTGGTAACCACCCTTACTCTGTCCTGAACATTCTATGGTCTATTGCTGGTAAGTCTATCTTCGCACCCAAGTTTAGGTCAGATCAGAGGTGCAGACCAGGAGAATCAATACTTCCTGGCTGGTGACCGCTACAACATGTGGACGCTCTCTGATAGTAGCTACCCTGCTGAGTCTGAATGCCAGGGGTGGGCAAGAGGGTTAGTACCAAGTGAGTGGCCCTGGGAGGAGGCATCAAGATCTAAGAACTCAGAAGGTCTTATAAAGAGAACCTAGCACATTGTCCTGCTTGTCTTAATGGTGAGAATCTTAGGGATGTGGTTTGAAAAACATCAAAAGCCCCCGTCAGAGAAGCCAGTAGCCATATCTGGAGCACACCTGCATCCACTGGCATCTTGAGTAAACCTCCGCTCGCCTGAGCCCCTCCCACTGAAGGCTGGCATCAGCTGCTATTGATGTTCAACACCTGCATCTGCTTCCCGGACAGGTTACCTGGCGATGGTGATTGCAGCCTGCGTGCTGAACTTTCAGAGAGCCCTTCCTCTTTTTGTGATCACTGTGACTGCCATCTTCTTTGTTATCTGGGATCACCTGACGGCCAGATATGAACCTCGAATTGATGAGCTTCTATCTCCTGGCAGGAGGTTTCTGGACAGCCACTGGTTCTGGCTGAAATGGTAAATCCAATCAATTCTCTTATTGCAATTGAGAAGAGGTGTTAATCTTTTCTAACACTGTTCCAAAAATGTGTTCTGAAATTACTTCCTCATTTAGGGGATATTGAAGCTAGAAACAACCTAGTGAGTAAGCCGTTATAGTGTCTTCATTTTCTAAATGGGAAATCAAGGCCTTGATGAGGTGATGACTCATTTGAGATGTGTTCAAAAGTCCCTGCAAACTGCCTCAATTTCAGGTGTTATTAAATGATAAATGTGGTCCAAAGGTTGTTAATCTAATAACCTTTCTTGTACCATATCAGACAGATAATTATGTGCCTGGGGGGGCAAGAAGCAGTCAGGGAAACAGAATAGTGCGAGCACAGTCATAGCAGCGAGGGCGTTAACTCTCCCTCTGACCTGACAGGAGAAGGGCATCAGGATGGATTAGTAGTGTCTGTCCTGGCACAAGATGGGGAATGGTGGCACAAATGCCATCTAATCTCAGTACCTAGTCATAAAGAAATGGTTTATAAGTAAAAACTGCTGGAAGTTCCTGACAACATGTCTGCCATGAACTTTCATTTTTTGCAACTTTTTTCTTCTTATACAAGTCATACATAGTCCTTTAAAAGTTATTTTCCAAACTGAGAACATAGAATATAGTCAGTCTTGACTTTTGTTTTTAAACATATTCCTATGTAGTTGACCATATACTGTACTTATAAAATCTTTGCTATTTTAAATGTTAAGATAAGTATAAATATTTATATCTATTTCTGATTAATTTAGGTCCACCACTATCTTATTTGTTGCCTTTCTTTGTTGACTAATGAATCCAAATAATTTTCAACCAGGCTTTCTTTTCTCCTATTTTCCTTCCATGGTTTTTACTTATTAAAAGCTTAGGGTTTTGGCTGGGTGTGGTGGTAGGTGCCTCTCATCCCAGCTAATAAGGAAGTTGAGGTAGGAGGATCACTTGAGCCCGGAGTTTGAGGTTGAGGTTACAGTGAGTTATCATGATCCCACTGCATTCTAGCCAGACAGTGAAACCCTGTTTCCAAAAAAAAAAAGTACCTCATATTTTGCATAAGAATGTCAAGCTTGTAATTTTTTTTTTTTTTTTTTTTTTTGAGACAGAGTATCACTCAAACTCTTGGGCTTAAGCAATTCTCTTGCCTCAGCCTCCCAGGTAGCTAGGACTATAGGTACTGGTCACAACACCCAGCTATTTTTAGAGACTAGGTCTAGCTCTGGTTCAGGCTGGTCCTGAACGTGTGAGCTCAGGCAGTCCACTCACCTCAGCCTCCCAGAGTGCTAGGATTACAGGCATGAGCCACCGCGCCCGGCCTAAGCCTACAACTCTTCTGCATATTCTTAGTTAATTGTCCAATGGTCACAGACATGTTTTTGAGTATCAGGATGTGCTTTCCCAAATAATAATGATAACTCTGAATTTGATCCACAAAGCCGGGCATGGTGGCTCATGCCTGTAATCCTAGCATTCTGGGAGGCCAAGGTAGGAGGATTCCTTGAGCTAAGGAGTTGATATCAGCCCGAGCAAAAACAATATCTCATCTGTACGAAAAATAGAAAAATTAGCTGGGTGTTGTGGTGGTTGCCTGTAGTCCCAGCTACACAGAAGGCTGAGGCAGGAGGATGGCTTGAAACCAGGAGTTTGAGGTTGCTGTGGGCTAGGCCAATGCCATGGCACTCTAGTATGGGGCAAGAGAGTAAGACTTTGTCAAAAAAAGAAAGGAAGGAAAGAAGGGAGGGAGGGAGGAGGGAAGAGAGAAAGAAAGAGAGAAAAACAAAGGGTCCAAGAGTTGTAGAGTGACAGGGACACATCACTTAACTTTTTGGCTATTTGCCATTATTGCCAGAACCAAAGAGTCTGTTGCAATTTGCAAAAGCATGACTTCCTGGTACCAGGGCGTGTTACTCTTGTTCACATTTTTCGTTTGTTAGTTTAAGCCTGATTATATTTCTTACATTAGCACAACAGTGATGTCAGTGTCTCCCTTCCTGACCTCTTAGGGTGATTTGGAGCTCCCTGATCCTGGCCACTATCTTCTGGCTGATCTTGGACACGGCCAAGAGGGGCCAACAGAATCTAGTGTCCTTCGGGGGACTCATAATGTACCTAGTCCTGTTATTTCTGTTTTCTAAGCACCCAACCAGAGTAAGTATGAAATTGATCTTTTGCGTTTTTTCTGCCATGTAAGAATTATTCAAAATACTGCTTGTGAGAGAATTTAACTTATTCAGTATTTTTCTTACCTCGCTGTGATTATTTAAAGTATCCTGGTGCTCGTCTTCCTAAACTCCCATTGTACTATCTGTTACTATTTCCTGTTTTGTCCTCAGTAATTTTCTAGTTACACAACCAGGGAGACAGTCTCTCCTTGTCAAGTCCAATATCTATCCAAACACCACTCCTATGAAGCACACATAAAGAGAAAAGTCATCTATTTTCATCCAGATTTTCCTAGACTAGTAAATAATCTAATATTCTGCCATCAGATCCTGTAATTTATCAATGTTCCATTTGCAGTTTGGGCTTTTTTACTCCAAAAATTGGTCTTTTTATAGTTCTCCCCCTCCCCATCCTGGAACCTGATTCTCATCCTTTTCCCATCAGCTGGTAAACCATGAACTGGGCAAGAATTCTGAATCTTGGAGGTACTCGTGTATAACTCACAATGGCAAACTCTGGAAGACTTTGCCAATTAAAAGACTGACCCACGGCTGGGCTCTGTGACTCACACTTGTAATCCTATCATTTTGGGAGGCCAAGACGGGTGGATTGCTTGAGCTCAGGAGTTCAAGGCCAGCCTGAACAGAAGCTAGACCCCCTCTCTAGTAAAAAGAGAAAAACTAGCCAGGCATCATGGCAGTAGTCCCAACTACTCGGGAGGCTGAGGCAGGAAGATGGCTTAAACCTAGGTGTTTGATGTTGATGTGAGTTAGGCAGAGGCACTCTAGCCTGTGCAACAGAGTGAGACTCTGGCTCAAAAAGAAAAAAAAAAGGATTTACTTCTTGATCTTTCTGTATAGGTTTACTGGAGACCTGTCTTTTGGGGAATTGGCTTGCAGTTTCTTCTTGGACTCTTGATTTTAAGGACTAATCCTGGATTTATAGCTTTCGATTGGTTGGGCAGACAAGTTCAGGTAAGTCTGATTCAGAAGAACACCTTGATTTTATATGGTGCATTTAACATTTGGATGTGAGCCTCAAAACATGTTGGAAATAGATTTGTCTACATTAGTTGACCCAAATTTTAATCCTGCAGCATATGTTAGATAAGTCATTTTATGTTAAATTGTTAGTCTGTCTAGTTTATTCATATTATTCCTGCCTCCCACCTATATTACCTACTATGTCTCTCCCTGTTCCTATTGCCCCCTTGACCATGCCTGGAGGGTCTATACTTACAAGATGGTTCCAAAAACAGAGAAACAGACTTCCTCTGCACCCCGTGGTAACCTGCACCTCCTATGTGCCCTCTATGGCTTGCTGGACCACATTTGGCTCATTTTTTAGCTTCTTGGAGTCAGACTGAATGTCAGAAACACAGGTGTAACTCAAAAATATAATTCTATGCCATTCCCTGGAGAGGGCAAAGCAGAGAACGTGAACTTTCCAAATCTATCCAGCAAGTTTGCTGGGTTTCCATCCTCTGCACGGCCTAGCGTTCCTGTGGACTGTATAACCACCTCTTGAGTGGTTGAAATGATCTCTCTCTTTTCTTTAACTCAGACTTTTCTGGAGTACAGTGATGCTGGTGCTTCCTTTGTCTTTGGAGAGAAATACAAAGACCACTTCTTTGCATTTAAGGTAAAGCTGAACCCCCTTTCTGTGTAGTCACTGCCCTTTCAGTAGCATCTCAGTCTTTGCAGATGTTCAGACAGAACTTAACTTACCAAAAGTGAGGTAGACCACTGCTTGTCAAAGGTATGCAACATATCACTGTCCTTTTTCATTTGCAGTGTTATCTGAAGTCAGTGGATTGTACACATTTTACTTTACTTTGTTAGTGCTAAGGGAGGTGTCCCCAGGAGATCACAAACATTCAAATATGAGGTGCTTGTAGCATGTACTGAGATACTTATGAAAGAAATCATATGGGGTATTATCTAGGTGGTGTGGGGTGGTGTCCAGGACTTCAGAGGAAAGAACATTATGCTTCCGGCAATGAATAGGTATGTTGCCACCAATGGCTGACAGGTCCAGCATCAATGACCGTTCTGCACTCCCAGACACACCGAGATAGCCGGTCAACCGCATCATCCCTTAACTAAACCATCTTCCCTTCAGCAGAGCCTTAGCCTAGGCGGGCTAAGAAGCTGGGGCTTCCCCTAACCAAAGGAAGGCACATTATTTTACTGGGGACAGGCCACCTGGACCCATAACTGGGCACAGTGGGCCTCCCACATGCCCCCCAAAGCTCACCCACCTCTGGTAAGTCCCTACAAATACTTGTCAGTGAGTCAGAAAGATGCATTTGGTCTCTCTTCAGTTTTCTTTTTTGTGGTGAGTTGTTTCTCATATAAATTGCTTTCTCACTTACAGACTACAAATTCACCTCCAAAAATTACCCTGGCTTTGCTTAGGCCAACCTTTATGATTTTTTTTTTTTTTTTTTTTTGAGACAGAGTCTCACTCTATCACCATGGTAGAGTGCCATGGCATGTCATCATAGCTCACGCAGCCTCAAACTCTTGGGCTCAAGCTGTCCTTTTGGCCTCAGCTTGTTGTATAGCTGGGATGCCACGGCAACGCTCCCATAGTTTTTCTGTTTTTACTAGAGATGGAGTCTTGCTCTTACTCAGGCTGGTTTTGAACTCCTGAGCTCAAGCAACCCACCCACCTACCCACCTTGACCTCCCAGAGTGTTGGGATTACAGGTGTGAGCCACCGCCCTGGCCTTTTATGATGGATCATTTCATTAAACTGCTGATTTGATGCTTTACTGTTAAGATAACTAAGCCATCTCTGAAAGATCTAGTGTTTACAGCATGAGATAGAAACATGCTTATGTCATTAATTGAATTCAGAGTTGGAAAAAAATAAAATCATAAAGTGGAAGTAACTTGCCACTCAGACCATATGGGTGTCTTCAGACACCCCTCCCCCTTCCAGAACAGTGGCCTCTGCTCTTTCCTGCCAACGCAGAATCCCTATGGTTACTTTACAGAGATGAGCCCCTTTAATTCCCTTCGGCCTTTATGAAGGTGCTGCCTACCCATTATGGCCAGTAAAAGGCTCACAATGAGTGAGCTCTGAGCACTAGCACAGAATGTCTGTTAATGTATTATTAACAAATCTTTCTAAATTAGATCCTGTACAGATTGTCCTCGGTCATTCTGTTCTTCTGGTGGCAGCTTGTCTCTGGCCATTTAGCTGGGGCACAGTGGTGGAGGGGCTGAGAAGGGACCCAGCCTACGGCTCTGTGGGGCGGGCCTATGCCGGGGTAGAAACTACTTCCCATGGAAACACAAGCTACAGTGAAAGCACACGAGGAAAATAGGATCTAGGAAAATACAACTTTCCCTAACACAGAACTAAGCTAGTTTCCAAAGCATAGTCACCTTCGTAGTGCTTCAGAAATCTGTAGTTAAGATAATCATGATTTTAAAAGCTAAAAGAATGAATATTACTCCATAGGCAGCACCATGCTTTTTGTGCTTGTGATGGCCACCAAGAATAAACATCTGCAATTGCTCACAGTTCATCTCAACCCAGGTCACTCTGCTAATTAGTCTGTATGTACTATCAGGACAACAAGAATATTCTGCTGGTGACCTTAAGTTTGTAGATCTAGTTAATACAAATCCCCCCACAAAAGTTCATTCCTTTTCTGAGTAAGGAAAGTTCATCTTGGAAGGGAAAACAAAATGAAGTTTCCTATGCAACGTACTGAAGCTTATCTAGAACAAATTAGAATAAGAGACTGTAGACAGGGAAGCTGCCTAAGAAAAGTGCCTTATCCTCGAAGAGTGTCCAGTATTTTAATGATGTTTCAGCAGGAGGAAAGGAGGCAGAGAGGAAACTTCATATAAAACCTGCTGATGCAACCAGGCCCAGTATTAACCCCCGGCTGCTGCTTCCCCACCAGGTCCTGCCCATCGTGGTTTTCTTCAGCACCGTGATGTCCATGTTGTACCACGTCGGATTGATGCAGTGGGTTATTAGAAAGGTACGGGGACTGGGAGGGACTGGTCACAGATGTAGACCTGATCTTCTCAGGCACAAAGTTCTCGATGCCTTTCCCTTCCTACCATGACCTATCACCACCACCCAAGTTACGAGATTTCGACCCCCAAAATCCTAAATGCGTCCATAGAGGGAATTTTTTCTTGGAGACTCTTAAGATTTGTGACCCAACAGATATCTTTATGAAACTGTAGCAGTTACCTCTTTAGCCAAGGAACTAAGGTCAAATACCTGCCCAGGAAAAAACAGTGTCACTTCTTCATCTTGGTTCCATCTGCCTTAGGCCTTGCTTAACTTCAGGAGGTTACAGAAGTAGATGCTTCAGGTCCTAGACTTGCGAGAGAAATCAATGTGAGAAGGAGAAGCTGTTTTTTGCTCCTTCAGGCTGGCCCAGCCACTGTGAGTTCTGCACTCATGTGTTAGATCAGAAAATGAGATCTTTAAATTAGCTGGGATACACAGGGCATAGCCACACCCCTCCTTCAACCACTGTGAAATAAGTCAAAATGTATAAACAGAAAGGAGAGAAAAGAGAAAGAGAACCAGAATATAGGCAGTGTCTGAGTTACAAACATCCAGCTGATGTACAACTCATTTCAAATGGAAGCTATTATGATACCCCGAGTTACAGACACCTACTGACATTCAACTCACACTTACAGGTAAATGTACCTGTTCCAACTCACATACAAATTCAACTTAAGATGTAACCCAGGAACTGCCTGTACAGGTACCAGCAGAGATCAGAATTACAGCTAGAGCTCTACTGCCCATGATGTTCTGATTATTTGGAATTGAATACTCAGAATTACTGCACTCACGTCTAAACAAAAAAAAAAAAGGAAAAGAAAGTAGCAGGAAGTCCTTTCCTCCATCCTGAGATGGGTAGTGCCACCATTTGTATACTATTGAAAGTGCATACAATGGCCCAGACTTTCTAGACCCTTAAGAGGCTCAATTATTCTGCCTATGGGCTCTCCCATCACAAGGCTACCAACAACTGTGGAAGACCTCAACATTTGACTCCAGCTTAAAGATTTTTTTATCCCTACCTTGAAAGTTTTGTGTGTATAAATAGTCGCTCACTGACTTTGTCCTTTGTTTTTCTTTTAGATTGGATGGGTAATGCTAGTTACTATGGGATCATCTCCTATTGAATCTGTAGTTGCTTCTGGCAATGTGTTTGTTGGACAAGTAAGTTATGATATCAAAAAACAAAACAAAATACCTGCTGAAATGGATAGTTTCTTTCCAAACAAGCCAAGAGAAAATATAATATTACATGGTTATTTCTTTTAAAGGAAGGTGGAGGGAGAGAGAGAGATCCCTTCCAAGAGTCTAGGTACACTGTTGTGGAATTGGTTTCCTAAGAGTTTATGAAGGATAAGGAGGGTTGAGTCATTTTATTAAAGCATAGGGCTTCTCATACAGAGATTCTCAACAAATCTTTTCTGAGTTGGGGAATTATTAGGGTTTCTGGGCAGCTCTTCAGAGGCTAGTAGCTCTCTTCCACTTGACCAGATTTTGCTATCTTGAAACTACAAACATGTAACAGGCATCCACTACTGTAATGCCCATGGCTACAAAGGAGCCTAAAAAGGCTTCCCACCAACAACCGGGCAGCGGTGCACACACTTGAGCTCATTTCCAACTTGTCAGAACTGGCCATCAGTCTGTCTTTGCTGAGCCTAAAGAAAAATGCTTTTATCTTTTTCTTTTTCATCAAAGATTAGATTTTAGGCCATGATTTTCACTTGCCTGAGCCATCACATGGATAAACACTCTTTTGCCTGGAGTTCACTTCAGTAAAGAAATAGGATGCCAAGGAGCATCTCTCAATAGCAGCCCTGCTAACGGGGAAGGGTAGGGGGGATAAGAAAGAAATGCTAATAAGCTACTCATCACTTGGGGATCTATAGGTGGGATGGAGTCTCACACCTAGGAAGCCAAGTGCGAATGTTTCCACCAACACTGCCCAGGGAAATGGGATTTGAAGCAAAAAAAAAAAAATCAAGTCCCTTAGAAAAACATGTGGCCCTAAATCCCAGGCTTACAGCTGCTCAAGGCAAGCTGAGCCTTTGGTGAGTAAACCCGACTCCCCAGCTTAGAGCATAGTCTTAAGAGCGGGGATCTGTAATTCTTTGGCAGCAGCTAAAATTATTATAATTATAGGCATAAGATCTCTCTGGAATAATTAGGGCACCATCATGAGTTGATTGCTCTTACCTGCAGGGTAAGAGGGCTCCTGTGCTGGGTTCCTAGGTAGTGTATAAATTGAGGCTCAACACATTCAATCTTACAGAACAATTAGAAATAATGAGGAGAAAATTGTAAAATTGCACACAAGCTTCTGTGCTACTCAATTGGACACTTAATATGCTAAAAATACAGCTGTTTTTCATGGAGGCTGCCTGCCCTCCTTCACAAGACGCAAGCCCTGACAGCGACCCTCTGGTGGTTCCTTTCCACTCATCAGAGAAGGGTCCTGATTCTTAATTACAGCTGGACCTGTCCTGGGTCTTGCCGGTATTTTTTTCTAAACTTTTATCTCTATTTCCCTGAGGTATCAGGAAATATAGAGTTAGGGTCTATTTAGGTGACATTGGAAGACAAAAAGTCACAGAGGCTTATGAACCAGCAGTCCATGAGACCAGGCCACTGTGCACAGTCCCTTGGCCAACCCTTAGAAAATTGTCCTAGGCCACCATAGAGTCCAACCCTAGGTGAGGTGACCTTATATGATTAGCCTCAAAAATTCTGCAAAATTTACATATGCCTGTATCTGCACACTGACCTACAGGTCAAATGACACAGGTATCAATAGTATGAATTCCCAAACTTGAGCTTGTGTCAGAATCACCTGGAAGGCTTGTTCAATGACAGACCATGGCCCCATCTGCAGAGTTTCTAATTTAGTCAATGGGGAATTTGCATTTCTTTTTTTTTTTTTTGAGACAGAGCCTCAAGCTGTCCCCCTGGATAGAGTGCCGTAGCATCACAGCTCACAGCAACCTCCAACTCCTGGGCTCAAGCGAGTCTCC